CACCGAATGCTCACAATAACCCCTACACACCATCAAATGGTAGGACCAGGGCCACTGACTCAGAAGACACAGGACTGTAAACTGATCACTAGGAAGTTGGAGATGATAATGCTTCTCACATATTTCCAGAGGTGTCAGATACACACAGGATGTTGCAGGAAGAAGCAAGCAAAGGCCTACTTGTTCCCTGTGATGTGGACTCCATGCTACTCCTGGTTCTCCCAGAATCTTAGATGTGCTCGTTCCCTGCCTCCTCTGCTTAACTTTAAGACTCAGATGGATGAATTTGCTATACCTGAGTGCACAGTAGATGTCCATGGAATGAATGACCTGATGCAAAAAGATCACTAGAGGCAGGTCAGCCTAGAGTCAGGATGGCCAAGGCTGGCCTTGATTTCCCCATCTGCCATTAGCACCTGTGTCATAAGGCTGCATGGAATATTAAAATGCAGTCAGGAAAACCAACTCCTGTTGCTCTCATAGCCACGCTCAGAGCCTCCTACACCACAGTCTCCCTGCACAGACTGGGGAGCTCAGGAGTTTCTCTGTGCCCAGAGCTGAGAGCTGTGCATGCTGGGCTGGAAGCAGTGCCACTGGCTGACCCAGGATGGGTGGATGCCTAATCACTGGACTAACGAGGCTGAAATTCCTGTTCAGTTGTCAATAATTATCAAGGCTTTGCAGACACCATTATCTACTATTTAAACTGGCCAGAAATAACTGGGTGCCAATGATAAACAGCTCAATCAGAATGTGTAGACAGGGGAGCTCTGGGGGCAAAAGTGCCCCTCGGCCCCAGAAGTGATAAATCTCTACGTCTCACTCTGCCTTCCTATCTTAATCTGCCACCCTTCCCCTCCACACCCACAGTCACAGAGTAGCCAGGGCACCCCCAAAAAGCCAGGGAGGGAGCCCAGCACAGGCCCAACTTTTCCTTCAGCCCCCTCCATAGCTCCTGCTAAGTATGCTTGCAATTATGTTAAACAGGCTTTCCCCCTAAAGTTTAGGAAAAGTGACATGCCTACCCACCAACAACAGAAACTGTAAGAACCCACATCCTTGCCTGTCATGCTTATCACTGCATCCTCAGAAAAGAAGCTACAGAGGTGCCACTAAATACACGCTGAAGCAATGGACACACCCCTGGGGAAAAGGCCTCTGGATGTGGGTGTGGCTCAAGTGGCAAGTATAAGGCCCTGAGTTCAAACCCAGAACTCCCAAAAGGGGGGAGGGGAGAAGGCCTCTGCATTTGCCTAACAGTAAGCATCCCAAGCATGGCAGGTAGGGTTCTAAATGGTCAGGTCCCTGCTCTGCCACCATTTCCCTGTGCAATCCATCTTTTGTCCTCTTCCCTCCCCCATGTAACGTAAAAGTACAGGACTCCTAATGTATAGACAGAAAGTCCTGCTTTCAAAAGCATGGTTTACCATCTCCTTAACTTAATCTCCAACTATTGATTGGTGGCTACTTTTTACAAGTACTCTGCCAAAAAGAGGCCAGTTGAGTTTAAATAAACACAAATGTATGTACATGTAGGTCCTGACTTAAACTATGTACCTTATCTATATACCAGGAAACGCCAAGTGTCTCCTGGTGTGAACTCTATTGTTTTGCCTTTTAACAATATGAGGGGCTTCTCCTATCAGCTCTAATCAGGCAAAACCATGTGTGAGATGGAGTGACAACTCCTGAGCCCATCCTCCTCCATGCCTCCCTTCCTTTCACTACCACAACCCCACTTTCAAGCACAAGAATTGTAACTCTCAGAATAGTAACTCCTATGTTAGAAGCTACAGCGATGTTAAGAAAAGTGTTTTGAAATTGTGAGTTCTTAGGGATAGTGGTAAGATTATTACCTATTAAGGGAATGCAAATAAATTCCATTTGCCTAAGCATTCTTAATAGGGAAGGTGAAATTGACTCCAACAAAAATCATGGGCTTCACTCCAAAGTCAACTGCACTTTAGATTCTCAAATCCCTAGTTCCCTCAAAGGAAAACTGAGATCAAGCTGTTTTCTCTATAATCAAATATACTGAAAAAGAAAAAAAAACAGTGGTCCTCATTCATTGCCTATGATGCAGCCCCACACTACCACTCTGTCCTGTCCCAACTAGCTACACTGCCCAAATGGAGAATAAATTTGAGATAAGCAGTCAGAAAGTCATTAGGAGCCTAGGGACACTAAAAACAAGTTAATGAGAATGAGTATGAACCCCAAATGGCAAAGTTTGTGGACGTAGACACATCCCAAAAGAGCACTCTAAGATAGATACATATACATATATATAATATATGTGTTTTTTTTTTTTTTTTGAGACAGGGTCTCACTATGTTACCCCAGGCTGGCCCTGAGCTGCAATCCTCCTGCCTCCACTTCAATTACAGTCATGTGACACTGCACCCAGCTTTCTTAGGCATTTCTTTCAGTGTCAGGTACTGTTCTAGGCCTCAGAAACACAACTGTGGAAAACACCATCAAACCCCCTTCAGTCAAACAGCTCAGGCTCTGACCCTCACTAAATCGCCTGCCTCCCCGTACTATTTCATTATTAATCGAGATTTCCTACACAAAGGCTCTACACAAATCATTAACCATAAATGCTGTTCCTCCCTGGCCATGTTCAAGTATCCCATTATGATGCTTCTCAGCCAGTGTCATTACCTCTCTGAACACACAGCAGCTTGGTACCAGAAAGCACAGTTTAGAGCTTGCAGATGTGCTTCCACTGAACAGCAGTGGTTCTTCCACTGACTGGGCAACACCTTAAGTTACTCTCTTTCCACAGCCTCAGGTTCTTCACTTGTGAGTGGATACAGCAAAACTTTGTGCAGATTAATCTAGCTTGTACAGGTGAAGCACAGTGGTAGACAGGAGGCCCTTTCGGCACCCTCCAGTCTTTCCAGACTGTCCAAATGAAAGCCAAGTACAGGACTCTTGAGAAGCCTCAGGTGTCACATGCTCCTTCTGGGTCATTAGCCACTTTCCATTATATTTGGAGTACCACCCTTCCCTACCTGATGTGCTGCCCTGAGCAGCCCCAAGTGGCAACTCCACCCATCCTCCCCTGCATGTGCCCTAAGAGCACACTTAGAAAACTTTAGTACACTTTTAAAGTCCTCACCCAAAAAGTGCCCTGGAGAAAACCTTCTCCACTCAGGCTGAGGGCCTGGCCCACCCCCCGCATAAGCCAGTTTTCAGCTAACAGCAATAGAATGGCATGCCCCATGTTTTATATCAATGTACAAAAAAGTATACTAGCCAGCATGAATTAGTCACTCCTACCTAGTTCAGCAGCAGCATCCCTTGATGCTGGATCCTCAAAACTGCTTAGGAGCTGGGTGCCAGAGCGTCACACCTGTGATCTTAGCTACTTCGGAGGCTAAGAGGAGGAGGATCAAGGATCGAGGCCAGCCCCACAAATAGTTCCTTAAGATCCCCATCTCCAAAAATAACCAGAGCAAAATGGACACGAGGTGTGGCTCAAGCCGAAGAGTGCCTGCTTTGTAAGTGTGAAGCTCTGTATTCAAACCCAGCCCACCAAAACAAAACAAAAAAACATTTAGGACTCAAAATACACATACAAACATCTGCCTGCCAGTCCCTTCTCCAAAGCTTCCTTGAACACGTGAGGCAAAAGTCCTCTGGCCCTCCCACTTAAGTGCTAGGCCTGCCCTGAAGAAGGTTCCGAAGTGGATGGTGGGCAGGCTTATGTGTGGGGGCCTATGGGAGACAATCTCAGGCTCACAAAGCTCCTGCCTTCATTACCAAAACAAATACCACGAGTGGGGCTAGCTCCCTGCCTTCCAGTTCGCTCACCTGATCGGACGCACCTCCATAATCAGCAGTTCCAACCCTTACGAGCTGACAGTTCAAAGGAAAAGGGAGGCTGCGCCTGCTAGGGTGCATTGTGTCCAGGCCATCTGTGGGGCTCTAAGCCTGGTGAGCCCCCCCCAAGGCTGGGGCCTCACAACAGCGATTGTGCGTTCATTCCTGTCCGCTCTGCTCCCACTCAGGCCGCTCGCACAGGCGGCACGGAGGCGGCGGCCTCGGGAAGGGCCCTGCGCCGCCTTCCTGGCACATAGATGCCCGCCCTTCCCTCCCTCGCTCGCTCCCTCGCTCCCAGGCGGCCTCCCCAGAAAGGACAACTCTGGAGAGTGAGAGGGCACAGCACCCGGACTACCCCCACCCCGGCTGGAGCTCTCCCTAGAGGCTGCCAAGAAGGCGCGCCCTAGCTACAGGAGAGAAGACACCTGGGTCGGGGGCAGGACAAGCAACAGGGTCCTGATGGGAGGCCAGGGCCGGAAACAGAGAGGGACTGACGCAGGCTACACTAAAAGTGGAAAGAAGTCCCAGTTAACCCGACCGTAGGGGACCAGGCGCAGGGAAGTCCAGGAAGGGGACAGGAGGAGAGAGAGGTCTTAAGACTTAAGACCACGGAAGAGACGATTCGTGGGGGGAGGGGATACAAATCTAGGCTGAGGCCACAGAGGAGGAGTTGCTGGCGGTCCAGACAGAGACCATGCAAAGGGAAAGGGAGTTTGAGGGCATGAGGACCTAGCCTGAGTTATGGCAGGGAGAAACGACGGCCTAGCCTGAGCCGTGAGGACGGGGAAAGGGAACCTAGCCAGGGCCATGAGGAGGAGGCAGTGGGACCACACCCGGGTCACCGGAGGGGGGGGATGGCTGACCTGACCCACTGGGGACAGAGGGTCTATCCTGGGCTCTGGAGGAGACTAGCCTGGACAAGGACGGGGAGAGTGGGACTCCAGCAGAAGCCAAAAGCGGAGGCCGGGAGGGAAAGGCAGAGTCACTGCCCCCCTCCAAGTCACCCGCGGGCCCCTCCGGAGCGGGAGGGGTAGCTTCTACATAGAGTCCGGGACCCCGCCCCTCCCCCACCCCCGGGAACCCACCCTTCCCGGGCCGGAGGTCGGCGGGGGAAAGGGAACGCGAGCTCCAGCGAGGCCGCCGGGCTAGGACCAGGGACATAGAGCCTTTACCATGGTGGCGGCGGTGGCGGCGGTCCCGGTACCGGCGACTGAGGCTCTCCCCCCCGCAGTAGGGCCCGGCGCTTCCACTTCCCCGGGTGCCCAGGAGTGAACATCCGGGTCAGCGCCCCCCTCCCCCAGCGCCGGGCCGCCGCCACCTTCCTTCCCCGCCCCGCCCCGGCCCGGCCCGCCCCCCACGCCGCCAGCTTCTGGCCAATGAACGCGCGGGGCCGCAGCGATCGCCAAGTATGGAGCGCGGCGCGGGGGGCGGGGCGACGGATGGGGAAGTGGGGCGGGGCCTGCGCCGGCTGGGCGCGGTGAGGTTCAGCAGCTTTGGGTGCGGATGGGAGGCGTGGGCTAGGGGCGCGGGTCCGGTCCAAGGGATCCCGGTCCACCCGGACGCCCAGTCTCCGACCAGGTGGTTGCACAGCGGGGGAAGGCAGAGGGCCTGGGCCCATGGGTCCACAGGCGGGGATGCGGAAGGCGCTGGGACTGGGAGGGGACTGGCCTTCCTTGCCCCACCCGGTGCACACGCTCACGCCTGCAGCGGACCCGGAACTGGTGCGGACCTCGGGCTGAGGCCCAGCCCAGAAAGCGCGCCCAGCGAGTGGAACCCGAGTTGGAATCTCAGCGCTGTCACTTGCTACGGGGTGGGACCGCGAGCTTGTCACTGCCTCTGACCAGGTCTCAAGAATTAAAGAGCCTCGGGCCACACCGTTAATTGAGTGCCCATTATATATCAGACGTTGTTTTAGGAACCAAATGAATAAGGCAGGAAGATTCCTGCCCACATCTCTACCTGTGACAGAATAGTTGTGAGAATGACGCAGGTAAAGAGATTAGAAAACTAGGCTCAATAAATACTAGTGTTTTGCATATTTGTGCATTTGCTACACAGAATCAGCCCATTGGCCTTACAGGTCTTCCACACTCCACACACTGACTCGGAATTCTTTTTTTCCCTCCCTGTACAATCAACAAATACTTGCTAAGTTTTCTCTAGAATGCTGGAGACCTGGTGTGCAAGTTCTGCTGATATCTACCCTCCCTGACTTGTTCACCCTCTGTTTAGAATCAAGTCAGGTCACCTGTGAGGGGAAGCATAACCTGTCCTAAGCCTTTGAGCTATAGTCAAGTAAAAGTTTGCATGGGACAACCACTGGTGTATAAAGCATACAGGTAAGGCAAGGATGGTATAGACCAGCCAGGTGCCAGTGGCTCACTTCTGTAATCCTAGCTACTCAAGGCAGAGAAGATCACCATTCCAAGCCAGCCAGGCAAATAGTTTGTTAGACCCCATCTTGAAAATACCCAAAACAAAATAGGGCTGGCAAAGTGGCTCAAGTGGTAGAGTACCTGTCTAGCAAGCATGAGACCAGTACCTATTTTAAAAAAAAAAGGGGTGGGGGCAAGGGGGAGAAATGACCCAAGCCTTGTATGCACATATGAATAATAAAAGAAAAAAAAAGGGTATAGACCAGTATTACAGGAGTTCAGAGAAGGGGAGGAGCACTCAGGAAGTAAATATTTATCAAGCAGCTATGTGATCAAGCACTGTGCCGGGCTCTGGGGATATGACCATGAGCAAAAGAGCCCATCTTCTTGTGGAGCTTTTAGGGTGAGGAAAGCTGGGGGTGGGACCCAGGACCTCGTGCATGCTAGGCAAGAACTCTGCCACTGAGCTACATCTCCAGTGTGGAGCTTGCATACTGGCTGGGAGACCATCAGATACCAAGGAAAGATAGTGTCAGAGGTGATTAGAGGTATGGGGAAAAAAAAAAACAAGGGAAGCAAGTAGGCAGGCTAGCAAGGTGTGGCTAGGTTTTGGGGGGTTTTGGGGGGGTTTGTTTTTTATGTACTGGGTTTTTTGGGGGTTTTTTGGCAGCACTGGGGTGTGAACTCAGCACTTCATGCTTGCTATGCAGGCCTTCTTACCACTTGAGCCACTCCTCCAGCCCTATGGCCATGTTTTGGAGGATTGGTCAAAGAGGACCTAACTTAGGGAGTAACAGTTGATCAGACAACTGAAAGGAAAGAGGAAGTTGACCATGTGGATAACAGAGGCACACAGAATACCAAGGGCAAAGACATCAAAGGAAAGAGATCCCTGGTGTCAGATCCCTGGTGTGTCCACAGACAGCGAGAAAGCCAATGCGGACAGCCTAGGTTGAGGAAGAGGCAGGAGTTGACATGCAGAACAGTGACAAAGTGTGACATAGGCTGCAAAAGGATGATGTGGCTGCTGTGTTCTGAATGGACCAGGGTCTTAGACAGCTATTTCTATATTCCAAGCATTTTTATTTAAAAAGCACTGATACGGTACTTCTTATATAATGGACCAGTACTAGTTTGGTTTTGGTTGGGTTTTGGTGGGACTGGCAATTGAACTCAGGCCTTTGTGCTTGCAAAGAAGGCGCTCTGCCACTTGAGCCACAACTCCAATCCATTTTATCTTGTTTTGGAGATGGAGTCTGCAAGCTATTTGTTCAGGATGCCCTCCAACGCGATCCTCCCTATCTCAGTCTCCTAAGTAGCTATAATTCCAAGCAGAAGCCACCAGCACCCAGCATGGACCAGTACTGTTGAGCACTGTTTAAACAAACTCATTGAATCCTCATCACAGAGTGCCTCAGGTCAGCAGTGAAGATGAAGTTACTACTGGACCAAAGTAGGAACATTGGAAGAGGCAAGAAACAATTGTATTCTGTGTGTTTGTTGATGCATCAGTGGTACTTGAAGAGTAAAAGGGGTCCAGGACAATGCTGAGGTTTTTAGCTTGATTAACCCAGCCATTTGTTGAATTGGGCAAGACTGTAGGAGGATCAGGGGGTCTTAGGGATAGTAGGAAGATAAGAATCCTTTTGGGAGAAGTTATGTGCAAGATGACTTTTGGAGACTTAAGTGGTGATGTCAAGGAAGTGAAAGTCTGAAGATACTGGGCGCCAGTGGCTCACACCTGTAATCCTACTTACTCAAGGCAGAGATCAGGAGACTCACAGTTCAAAGCCAGCTTTGACCCAATCTTGAGAAAACCCTTCACAGAAAACAGCTGGTGGAGTAGCTCAAGGTGAAGGCCCTGAGTTCAAGCCCCAGTCCTGCCAAAAAAAGATAAACTGAGGAGAATCATCAGCTAGTTAATGGTATTTAAAGGTATTTAAAAGCACAAGACATCTGGATGGACTCGTGGCGTGAATGTATAGAGAAGAGGTCTAGAAGACCAAGAGGAGGAAGGAAAACTAGGAAACAAGGAGTGATGGGCAGAGGAGAGGACCAAGAGAAGGTGTTGCCCTTCCTTAACCAAGATAAGAGCATGAGGGGAAAGCTTTCTGAAATTAGTGATGCTCGAAGAAAATAAGATTGAAAGGAAGCCGGGTATATGTGGTACATTCTTGTAATCCCAGCACTAGGGAGGCTGAGGCAGGATCATCTAGAGTTTGAGGCCAGCTTGAGTTACATAGTGAGACCCTGTCTCAAAAACACCAAAAAAAAAAAAAAAAATTGAAAGGAAGCTTTGTTCAAAGTATATTATCTGGCCTTGTGCCGGTGGCTCATTCCTGTAATCCTAGCTACTCAGGAGGCAGAGATCAGGAGGATCATAGTTCAAAGCCAGCCCTGGGAAAATAGTTCATGAGACCCCATCCGGAAAAAAAAAACCCTTCACCAAAAAGGGCTGGCAAAGTGACTCAAGTGATTAGAGCGCCTGCCTAGCAAGCATGAGACTCTGAGCTCAAACCTTAGTGCTGCCCCCCAAAAAAGTATATTATCTATAGTTTTTCATTTAATCCTCACTGCAATCCTAGGAGAGATACTATTATTATTCCCATTTTACAGATGAGGGAACAAAAGTACAGAAGGGATAAGTAATTTGCCCAAGATCACATAACTAATGAGTTTGATGCAAGGCAATCTGAGACCAGAACTGGAACTTATAACCCCAAGGCTGATCATATTGCTCCTTGCTCCAAAACTTCCTAAGAAGGCTTAGGAGGCACCACAGAAACCAGGTACACACACCCCATTTCTACCACAGGGCTCCATTTCTTCATCTTTTCTTGACTCTGCTACTTTATTCCTCTGCTAACTGGACTCCCTGGCTTGTTTCCAGCTCTGTTCCCTCAATATTTCAACCTACAGGGAGTGTGGCCTGGATGCCTTTGTCCCTCCTTTATTCTCTGCATCAGTTTCTATTACCTGACAACTTCTTGTGCTTCAGAGTTCAGATAGCCAAGACTGAATCTAATTGGCCCAGCTCATCTTTTATTGGTAACAGTCCATTGGCCAGCTCACTGATCAGTCACTGATTGACTGCCCATAGGTCCGATCCCACACCTAAACCCATCAACTACAGCTGTGAGTGTGAGCACTCAATGGGGCTGCCTGTAAGAGGCTCTGCTAAGAAGCCTGGGCACCTTAACTATAGTACTGTTTTTCCTTCCCTCCTCTGTCAAAGCCCCTCACCAACCCCCCTTGAAGTTCAGACTGCCACTCCTGTTTGCTCTCCTGAACGGCCTTTCGCCTCCCGTCCCATACCTTTACGACTTCAGCATCTGTAAGCATAACCCATTGGAACTCATTGACTTCTCCCTTATTGATTTCTTTCCCTACCAATGAGTTTCCTTCCTCTCTCCCCAAGCACCCACTCCCAGGGTCTTACAGGCTTATCCTCACCAATGACCATACTAGCTCAGAAAATGATCCCAAAGACCTCAGATCTGACCTCGTTATTATAATAACACATAGCATTCGTTCAACCTCGTTCAAACCTTTGACCTACTGGGATTTCATTTATCTTCTCTCTTACTCAACTTGGTAATAGTCATCATACTTATTTCCTGGCAAACACCCATAAACCCTTCGCTCCCTCCCTTTTCGACTAACTTGCCTGACCCTAGCAAAGCTCAATTGCTCCCCTTACTCCATACCTGCAACAGAACATCTGAACATTTCTGGAAAATTTAAAGTGGCTGCTGTCACTTCGCATTGATGTCCACAAATTTCAAATGAAGCTTCACTCTTGTCAACTCTGCATACTGTGAAATGAGGATTTTTTTTTTAAACCTTCTTCCTTTGTCCTATTCTCCCTCTTCTCTTGAAGAGATGATGTCCCTCACCTTCAAGAGACAATAGGAAGCCTGTCACCTCCCAACATCTCTGCACCTTCTCTATGTCCTCTGCCTTTCCTGCCTTTACAATGAAGGGGCTGTGTTCCCG